CTTTCACAGATGGCGAGATCTTGTTGAAGCTACAGGGTTCAACGCGTGTTCAGAGCCAGGAAAGGGAGAGGGCCACTCTCCTTCACTGGCTGAGCTCCTCCATGTGAACAGTCTGAAGCAGCACAGTACCCCCCATTTCCAGCACACACAGGCACACCTGCATACTAAAGACAGGCTGGAACTGGCTGAGGGACCACCATCAAAATACATGTTTAAAAAACGTCAGCAATGATAAATCCCAACAGTGTGAACAGAACTACTCACAGAGCACAGTGCAACGGGGTGAAGGGGTTTCCTTCCTGGATACTAAATGGTTTGTTTTCAAGTAAAACGTCCAAACAGTCTTCATGCCCTGGAGAGAAGAGGGGAAATGGAAACTCAATCACGACGCAGTCACTGCCAAGAGGGTCTGCCGCGTTACTGCTGAAGAGCGCTCTCCTGCTCGGAGTCCTGCCACTGAAGGCCAAGTGTGGACACCCACCTGTGGTCAAATCTCCCCCCCCGAAATTAAAAACACAAATCTGAGGCTTTTCAGTGAGCTAATGCGAGCACCACATGTGAAAGATCCCATGAGTGAAATCACAACGAATCCCTATTAACGTGAAACAGTTTTTGCTCAGAAAACGGCAATGCCCCGCCCCAGTAACAGCCAATTGTCTTTTCCAAACACATGAATATTACGGAAATTTGCCTGAGAAAGCTTTTGAGGTTCTGTGGGAGCGAGGTTGCTGCTCAGGACAGTTGAAAGAATGACAAGAGCAATTCCAGGCCTTTAAGGAATGGCCTATACAGTCCATGAAGAGACTTCAACACAACTTACTGACACAGTTAACCTAGAGGACTACTTCAGGACCTGTAAAGCAGCCAAGGCCCAAGGGGGCACATGTAAAGAAATATTGTTCTGTAAATGTGTCTAGAAAGACCTGCAGGGAGCAGGGGCCTGGAACACACTGCTCCACCTTGTTAAAGCCGATTCCCTGGCATCTTTCATGAAAGGGGTAAAAGGGATCCAAAAAGACCAAAACAAACGAGCACAGCGAAACCTTTATTATCCCTGTAGAAAGCGACCGAGAAAACCAGGGAGCCGCTCACCGTGGTAGGAGGCCCAGTGTGAAGGGGTGTACCCGCTGTAGTCCAATATGGAGTCCAGGGGGTCTGTATTGAAGGCGGCCTGCAGCAGGCTGCCCAGGAGCTCCATGTGCCCACAGGCCGCAGCGAAGTGCAGTGGGGTGCGCCCCTTGAAGTCCCGGCACAGCGCAAAGGCATCGTGGTCCAGGAGGGCCGAGACACAGTCCTCACAGCCGATCACTGCCTGGGAACACAGAGGCACGACAGAGGGGGTGGTCACCTGGTCAGCCCGTTACAGAGTCCTATTACAGGGCAAGCAGCTGGTCACTTGCTCCTCTGTAGCTTATTTCCCCGTTTGGCAAGGCCGTCTCTCTGGACTCTGCTCAAAAACACGCCACGCTTTACGTGATCTGAAGGATGACCACAGTGCAGCTCAGGGTTCCCCAGTGGGCCAGAGGCAAGGCCACAGGGCCTGAACTGGGAACACGCCTCCGCTGTTTTCTGAATGGCTCTAAGCAGTAAGGAAAGAAGAACATCGCGGAGGGCACTGGCCGCCCACTGTGGCGCAGGGCCCAAGATGCTCACCCCCCTGTGCAGGGCGGTCCTCCCTCTCTTGTCCCCCGCGTCGGCCGTGGCCCCCTTCTCGAGCAGGAGGTGGACGCAATCCGTGTGGCTCCCCAGCACAGCCAGCATCAGAGGAGTCCTGCAGCCAGACACACGCACACAGAGGGCAGAGGTCACTCTACACTGCAGGCCGGCATGCTGGGCCTAGTCCAGGGGAGCTCAAGGGGCCGATTTTTCATCCTAAATCTGGACCGGAGGATTTAGATCTCCCCGAGTTCAACAGGACCAGAAAATGGATGGAATAAGGTGAGGAAAAAAAGGAAGAAAAACCAGGAACCACAAGCCCTTTAGGATTTGAAAAAGGGTACTCACTGTCCCTGGGCGTCCATGACATCTGTGACATCTGCTTTCTCGCCACCGTCGATCAGCATGTGCAGGCAGTCTGTGTGGCCGTTGGCAGCTAAGGAAACACAAACACGCCGCTGTTGCCTCGTGGGAGAACTCATGTCCATTGAGGAACAGCTACAGCCTGGTAACTAGCCTACCCGTCCCAGAATCCCACCACAGGTCTGAACAGCTCACAGCCATATTAGGCCGAGCCGGCAACGAAGCAGAGATTTCTATACCACTTTAGACAGAACACACAATGTAAACCCCTATTTAAAAAATACACAGCCAGCACTTCCGCATAAATACATCAACTGTCTATGAACTGAGATGAGATGAATGGTGTCAGACTATTTGAAAGCACTAAGGATGTTTCAGTTCTTGAGGACAAAGGCCCTAAGGTTGGGAGTACTTCCCATCCCGTTTTTTTGGAGGGTTTGGTTCTTTTAGCAAAGGAAAAGGTCTGGCATCAACAGAGGAAAGTGCCCATCCATTTGCTCCTGCAGGATGTCTCCATGAAGAACCCGGAATGGCAGCACAAACTGTTTCAAACCAACTCTAAGAAAAGGAAGGGGACGATGAAACACTTTCGTCATCTGAGTGACGTGCTCTGGCGAGTCAGCAGGCGATTCCAAAAGGGGGGGAAAAAAAACATCTGAATATCTGGCATGTGATAATTCAGACGTCCCAATGATCAGATCCATCAGTCCCTACAGGAGAAGGCTGATTGGAGGCCGAAGAGGGAATGATTTAAACAATGACAGTTTACGAGGGCCACAGCCTTGCCCTTTCAGTGGAGCAAGTAGAACAGGACAAGTACCTGGGGACTGTTCTGGACTCCAAGCTTAATTTAGAAGATGTTGACCTTTTCTGAGGATCAGGTCAGTATTGCTGTTTTTTTTCTTAAGGAAGCTCAAGCATTTTAAGGTCGATGATTCATTATTGATTTTGTTCTACCGGTCCTTCCTTGAATCTGTTCTAACTTTTACCCTGATCTGCTGGCTTGGCAACCTGAAATCTGAGAGGCAAGGACAGGCTGGGCAGCC